GAAAACGAGAGATCTCGCGAGAGAGAGGCCCGTCTCATCGTGATGAAACCCGTATGAAACGGTATATCCATCAGGGTTATTCCACATATCTTGTATCTTGGCTCCCTCTCTTCAGACTCTTGCATTTCACAAGGCACTCGATTCAACGAAGTGCGGGGATTATCTAGAAAAAAAGGAGATTAATGCCGCCGCTAATTCTCTAGGTATTAGTGTTTCGAAGCAAAAGATTTTTCCGCACATAATCTAACGCTGGTTTCAATAACCCGTGGTTGAGCACTTTATAATTATTTTTTACACTAGATAGCGCCAAAAAGTTATATTTTAACACACATTTCCTAATGCAATTGGCTGGTGGCGCCTCTGGCGGATCATCCCCGAGAGCGTAGCGGCTGTTTAATCTGCTGTCGGCACTCGTGTAAAACAACTATTTTTACTTTATATATGAATGTAAGGTATCTAATATTATGATGACTCTAAAAAGATAAAACTACTTGTCACAGATTGTCCTTGAAAAAAACGCGTCCTTGAAATGTCCTTGAAAAGTTCTTGGAAAAATAATTCACTTTTGTGTGTGTGTGGCGACTGCATGGAAGCGTATGGGGCCCGTGCGTGCGTGCGTGCGTGCGTGCGTGCGTGTACACGCCCCTGTGTACATGTACAAGTCAACCCACACACAACACACGCATACAACCCGCTCAGCCGGTATCGTTGCCTCATAGGCCTTCCCCATGCTGAGCATGATTACGATTACACACGATTACAACACATGCTGAGCACGACTACAATCATGGTATTTGTAGGTATAAGAAAAGTTTGTATCGTCTTATGAGAATGTACCATTGTATGACTGGTTAAAACTACAAATTTGTAAATTGTATATATTTCAATAGTTACTTAGTGCTGATAGTAGTGTAATTGTTAGTAACAGCAAAGATCAATTGTATATGATCTTTGGTAACAGCAAGGCATAGCAAAACAAGGACCACAATGTAAATATAAGTGTGCTAGTCATGCTTTTTGTGTATATATCCTTGGTAGTTATCCAATTTTATGAATTCAGAATTTATTGTAAAAGTATGCTATGTATTGTATATGATGGAGAATTGCCTAAATAAATAATAAATAAATTGTACGATCCGTATAAATGATATATGATGCCGCCGACAGCTGTGTCTTCTAAACGGTAGTTATGTGGTGCGCATTGCTGTTGTACTCCAAAAACAATGTACACATACATGTATGCATGCATATACATATGTTCAAGAGCTGATGTTATATACATGCACGCACGCACGCGCGTGCGAACGAACGAACACACACGTACAAGTAATCGATATTGTATTCTGTTCTGAAGTTATGTAAACGTGCCTATCAAAATTCTTAGATATCATGTAATTATTGTCGTCTACCATGTAAATTCTGAATGTCTTGTAAATTTGTATGTATCATGCAAATTCTCACGTACCATATAAATTCTCGTATGTTATATATATTCTCATATATCATGTAAATTCGACGAATATCAAGTTAGTTGTCATGTACAATGTAAATTTTAGCAACCACAATGATAGAAAAAAAACCCAGTGAAGACAGACAATACCATCATATATAGGGTTATAGTGTTTTATGATCTGAATAATAATAACGGACAAGTTCCGGAGTCGGGAGAAACGCGCGATAATGTACACAGTGACAAGACAACGTCCAGTGAAAAAACTCCCTTCTTTTTCGAGAAAAATATATAACTGTTGGGATTCGCTTGCCGGGGGGCGCCACCGTTCGACATCCGTTTCCGACGCAACGCGGCTTCCTCCGAGGTTGGGCGATGATCCTCAATCGTTCCAAATGTACGGGGTAGAAGCTGCTGCACGATCTTACGTCTGCCGTTGCCATGATGACCGATACAGCCACACCAAGGCTTCACTTAGCGAAATGTTCTACCTTCCAAGAGAAACTGCGCCACGACAATAGTCAATAGAACATCAACGCGATTCGTGCACAACGGTTTGACGAAAATCACGGACAGCAAACCCGAAACCTGGATTCCCAACGGATCGTGGCGGTAGGGTGGGGCAGGGGTGGGTAGGTGTAAGGGATGAGAGCGGGGATGGTCAAAGTACAATAAGGAGGGGGAGGGGGGAACAAGATAACACCTTCACAAAACATTGGCCGACGGACGTCGTTGCAAATAATGCAACACTGATAATGCAAAGAGAGAGACAGACCACTTTGTCGTCCGGAACGAAAAAACAAACTCGCTTGTATACAAGGGATATTTACACATGGCTACTATAATATGAAGAAATCTCAACTCGATCAGCTGCTGTTGCAGCTGTAGTTTCGTAACGAGTTCTAACTCTGCTACGTATCTACACACGACACACGGTGTCCGCCCCGCCTGCCAACCCGCGCTCATCAACCAACAGTTTACCACACTACCCTCATTCTTCCAAGTACTACGCCGCGACGGCAACGTCCCAACCGCGATATTTCTCCCTCAACTAGTTTTTCCCATATTTGGTAAAATTAAAGTTTTAAATTAACATAAAATTCACACACCTTCACCTGGGTTTATACATATGCGGTAATAATAATTTACAGTAATCACAAATACTTAGACGGGTTCCGATTTTTTTCCGGCCCGCGGCGCGGCAACATGCCGCTCGGCCGAGGAACCAGTCTATAAAGTGATGAATCACATATCGATACATACTTTCCGAGCACCAGCTCCGCCTGTGCCAGTGCTTCAAATTAATCTGCATCAAACTAACAACGAATTCCCTTTCGATCACTGGGAAGCAATGAATATATAACATATCAGGCACGAATACGCGACGAAGCGCGGGACGCGTCGCAAACACGCGCAAGCGCACGCATCGATTACTCGTGCCTGCTGACAAAGAGTCTCGAAGCATCTACCAAAATGCGATCGCGGCTGCGATCGGTTACACGTGTCCATAAACACATATATCCTTCCACTATCTATATATCTCTCTCTCTCTCGCTCTACCTAACGCTTTCTCGCACTCTCTACCGAAAAATAGCAATCATCGAAGGAGTAACAACAGGACTGCACAACAGCCGTACTCGCCGAACCCTTGTCACACCTCTCACTCGCTCGTTTTCTCGTGCTCTGTCGATAAAATAAAGACTTACTCTACACCTTTAAATGGAAGAATGAGGCGATTTAACATGGCAGACAACCTCCTCCTATCCTCCCATTCTCCTTCTCTCCTCCATGGATCTTCTCAGGGGTAGAGAAGGGACAGCAGGTGAGAGGGAAGGGAATGGGAAGCGGTGCGGGGAGGAGGTGATCTGTTTTTATCATCATCATCATATTTACATCTTTCTTTCGTGTGCTCACCGGCGCTCTTTATCGCTCTCTTTCTCACTGTACAAATTATAGTGTAGATGGACAGGTGGCGCCACTGCTCACAACAATCTCGACACACGACGAGGATGACGAATCTACCGTTTATTTAAATTCAGCATGCTTACTTACACATGGTCTCTCATCACTATTTCCTGTTCACGCGCGCGTTTACCTATGTACACATGATAGCAGTCCCAACACAACGCTGGTTTCAGCTTATGGCTACACTTTCTCTCTCGTCTTTCTCTCTCATGTATCGTATAAGATGTCTCTATGTCCCTCCCTCTCTCTCTTTCTCTCTCTCTCTCGCTCGCTCGCTCGCTCTCTCTCTCTCGCTCGCTCG